TACACAGCGTTCCTTGAAGGGCCCCTAAACTACAAAGATGTCGAAATTTAGTTGTAGGCATGTTTTTCGCAATACCGCCGGCCAACAACGGCACAATGATTCACAGCACTGTCAAATGTATTACCTGTTATAATGCTACCTGTTGTACTACCGATTGCACTATCAGTAATACTATTGAGAGTTTATGGATAATACTATAGATATAAGTTTCTTCACACTATCAACAATTAAAAAGAAAAACTGTTCAAGCTATCAATAGTTCATTTGCCGATAGTTTGGCACCACTAATCTGACGACGGCAGAGAGTTATATGGGGTGATGGCAGGAAAATTCACAAATATAATATGGAATCAGATTCCTCAGGCAAAGGTCATTCGGAGATCATCGAGATAGGCGTTTCCCATGCATTGCCCAGTAACTGTAAGATGATGATGATGATGATGATGATGGTGGTGGTGGTAGTGGTGGTGGTGCTTTTTATTATAAGATGGCCGGCCTGTCTGATTGACGAGCGACATCCTGTAAGCCCAACGCGAGCCCAGCTTGGTTTTTCATTCCCCCATTGCCCTCAAGAATGCTGTTAATTTTCCTCGACTGATAGGCTCCCTTTTTTTTGAGGCGGCTCCACGAGCAGTATGAGGGCGGAAAGCGGTCAAAAATGCGACGCGAATTATAAATAGCCACAGGCATCTTTAAAAATACCGCAGCACATATTTGGGCAACAATTACCCTTCGGCCCACTCGCTGCGCTCAACAAAGGCGCCCCTCGGTTGAAGATTATCAGGAAGCGCCGAAGCCGAGAAGAAAGAATCCAGAAGTCGAGATCACCAAAGCTGAGGGGAAGGGGGGGGGGGTAAACTATGGAAAAGCGGCGTAAATATTCTACGTGCGCACAATGGCGCGAGAGTCAGTAGAACGAACAGTTTCTCTTTCTCTGTGGTTTCTTCACGCGGCACACACTGCGGAGGTATAGCCTTTGTTTTGCGCGGGTTCGTCGGAGCCACAGGCGACCGATATGAAAGGAAAGCGCACGCAGACGCAGAAGCCAGCTACGTATCCCGTCACCACGCTCTTGCGACTCCACCGTAATGTGCGAGAGGGAGAAAAAAAAGGAACATAAAAAAAAGGGGCTCGCCTACCACCGTTCCAGCTTGCTTTATCAGCACTCGGAATTGCACGAAAGGGCTCTCTCTCTCTCCCTCTACTCCACACTTCATCATATAGCTGGAACTGAGCGATATCGGCAATGTTCGCGACATCTCAGAGAATTTCGCAACCATCAGTCTACCTTGCCTTTCGAATGCTTGATCGCATCACAACGGCAAAACGTCTAAACCCTCCATTCCTCGCAAATAGTTGCAACTGTTTCCGCAAAGTTGACGAGTTAATAAATTATATCCGACATGACGTATATTTAAAAGAGGCTGCTTTTCAGCGTGCATCCGTTCTGGGTGTCATATGCTGCTTTATAAAAACGTCAAACGGGACCTTCATTTTGACGCTGTTGTTCTGAGAACTGTTTGTTTTCGGTGCATGCAAGACGTTCGAGGTGGTAGAGCCTAAATACAGGCGCAGACGCAAAAGAGACGACGCGACCATTTCTCGTTGTCTCTTTCTGTGTCCCGTGCGTTCTCTCGGTCCCTTTTCGCAAACGCGTGCTAAGCCTAACGTGGCTGCCATCTCTGTCGCCGACAAGGATGTGGCCACGACAGGCCGGACAGACGAAGTCTCGCAAACGACCTCGCTAAGTGGCGCCGTCTCGTTTCGATGCTAAGTGCGTCATCGGCGGCCCCTAAAGAATCTACACGCATTTTTATTCGCACTTTTTTCTCTCTCTCTCTCCATCGCTCTCTCTCTTTTTCTTTACAAAGGTGGACGCAGGGGAGAGACGATGACGATCGCTGGCGGAGGAGTTGCCGAGAGAGTGAAACCCGATTGCATATCATCGAAGCTTCTGGAGGTGAAACGAATTCGGACTTCTTCACAAAAGAGAACGGCCGGTGTGCTGCTCGCTTCCGCGTTGCGCGCTCATTGTTCGGCGCCGAAAGGCAAAGCGGACGACGGCGACGACGTTAGGCGGCGTCAGTGTTCTCACACACGAAAGCACTGGAGAAGGTAGGGGGGAGTGTGCGGCAAAGAATACTCGGGGCGGCGTAATAAAGACGCTCGGAAAATGGGGGCGCGTGACTGCTTCCTTACACGATCGCAGCTCGGCTGATTAAAATGCGCTCCACGCCTGTCGGTTATTGCTTAATTGTTCGCCACCACCAGTGGAACTTAAATGCGGGTGCGCAAGGCAGCCGCTGCCGAGGCTGCGGCGGAGGTTCCAGTTCAACGGAGATTCGGATTATTGCGCCAGTCTTCTCGAGTCTGGCCCGATTCTGTATTAGTTATCTCGAATACGCAAGTAACGCTCCGCGCGAGCATAGAGCGCTCACAAAACAACGTGAGTACCGGTCACATATGCAGAAACATTCGTGTGTCACCATTGACGACAGTATTCGCACCGGTTGCCAACAGAGATTCGGCATAGTTGGCACGATTCTCGTTAAGCCTTCCGCTTGGACGGGGCCAGGCGAAGCCGCTATAGACAAAGAGAAATAAACGCTTACGGCGAATTTATAGCCCCCTGCCCATTTCACACTCGGTAAAAACCGCTAGGAAAATTTGCCCGCAAACTACTCTAAGAAGAGCGCCTCAGAGCATGTCCTCTACGACTGATCCTTACGAAATTTGAAGTCTCTAGAAACTTTCCCCATCTCTCGCTAAAAGGGAACCATGCGCAGATGCAAATCAGCAGGCTTAGCTAACGCTTACACTGGCGGCGACGTTGACGCTGGCACTCACAAAGCAAAAAGCCAAGTGAAGACGCCCTTGACTTGAATTGTAAACACGCGGTCCAATGCCTAGTACAGTGCCCAGCATGCCGTGGAGAAACGAAATGTAGTTGCTGGTTGAACACACTATCATGGTAAGAAATAAACACTCCGCTGGTGAATTAGCATAGCATTCTTTTGTTTTTCACCACAACGGCCGGAGATGCGAGCTCTCTCACCAGAAGAAACTGTCCCGTCGTAGAATGCAACGCGCCCTGAGCGGACTATACGTATGTACGGAGAACGAGAATCCACATGCACTCACCACGCAATCGCGTCTCAGATCTCCATCTGAGGCCCGAAGGGCGTCGAAGCTCATCGTCAGCTCACAACGGCGTAAAGGCGCGCGAAACGATTGTCCGCAAACGGCCAACGCCCATTCCATTTCTCGGCAGCGAGACACGGCGCATTTTCACATCAACGCGCGCGAATCCCAGCGCTTTTATTTTCTTCGCCTTCCAAGTGGCCACTTCCATCTGGCCCTGAGCCAAGAGCCTCGAGCACGCGCAGCCATAACGCCTGTCAAAAGAAGATTAAAGTAATCTCTTCCGCGCGATAAGCACGAGGAATACAAGACGGGTGTGACCTCCGCGCTATAGCGCATACATTTGCAATACTCCTTCGCGAGAATCAATACTGCTCGGCCGTATACGGGATACGAGTTCTTTCCTAACCCACGCGAGCGAGGAGGAACGCCGGCTTTGGGCCAACGCGCTGTACCTTTCCTTCCGAGGAGCGCTCGGGTCTCTTTCGGAGGGGACACGCACAAATTTATTTTGTCGCCACTGGCAGCGCGCCGCTTTCACTTGAGGTCTTTATTGGAGAACGCCCCGCAGCAGAAGCTATTGAAAGGGTCCTCCATCGACGGGGCCACGTTTTGCTGGCCTGTCGCCAGGCGACTAATCCTAATGCAACCACGCCAGTTGAAGCTGTTGTCGATTGCACACGCTTTCAACGGCGTCGTGGATGGAAAACGCGACGCCTCTAAGCGCTCCGGTTAGCTCCGCACTGTCTCAGCGAAAGTGCTATGCCCACTCACGGCTGGCAAGGGCCAGTTTTAAGCATTCTGGTTTTCCACGGGCCACAGCCATGGCGTCCTAGAGAGTAAATTGTACTGCTTGATCTCGGTATGACATCTCACCTCACCCCACCTCCCCCCAGGAAAGCTCAAAACTGGCTGTACTCAAAAATGTTTTCTGAAGCCAACACTAGTGGAGTATGCCTGTATAGGTCGGTGGCGCAAAAAGCATGGAAATGATCCGTCGTTGGTGCACCCTAATATCTAAACTTCCGCGAACGGTTGGCCGCTTGCTGATTTGTTTAGTTGACTTCACATGCATACCACCTTATCGACATGAACATGTCGGTTTTTGGGACGTTAAACCCCAAATGTAAACATGGGCATGTCAAGGCTTACAATCGGAATGCACCCGTATACCACCTGCTAGCCGGCCTCCGCAAACAATGTCACGTACCAGTTATAACCGCTGGACACGTGACAACAGATTCCACAAATCACTGCTTCAATTCATACCCAACAAATGCCTTACAGAAGACCTTCAACGCACAAATACACAAAAAGCATTACGCCTTAATGGCCAGTCTTCATAGCGATAACGAAGAAAGTCCGTGTGCGGCTAGCGTGCTCTCTTGTCCGTTTATCTATTATATTATTTCCTATCACTGCAGGGAAGCAAACTAGACGTGCGTCCGGTTAAGCTTCCTGCCCTTTCTTGCTTTCCTCTCCCTACTGACGTCTGCATCGAAATGTGGATTTTACTGTTACGAACGTTTCGATCAAAATGGCCTGAATTCGACTTTGCCGCTAACACCAGAACGTTACTCGTTTCCTAAACGGTTCCTGTTCTCCTTTTGACTGTTAACAAATGCGCAGCAGCCGACTTAGTGCCACATCAGAGCCGATACGAATACAGGTAAAGCCATGTAAGCGGCGGCAACGCAGTTAGACATGTTGGAGAACTACATATGAAGTGCGTCTACTGCTAAAGTAGGGCAATAATGACATACATCCCATTCAAAATTATGACACTGAAGGAAAAGACGAAAACACTTACAGATGACTAGCCAGGCGGCGTTTCTCGAAACGGTAGTGATGAAACTTACCTCGTTTCTGCATAAAGCTGAAGAGGTCGTCCAGGAACTCTTTTCTTTTGGGCTCGTTGCTGAGCTCGTACAGCTGCAAAGACATGGTGCAATTGTATTACTTACACTCAGTTACACTTACACATACTTATAGACAGCGAGAAGTCGTGGCTCGCTGCACAACGCTATACGATCACGCAAATTTCTGCGAAAGGGGACCACAAACAATAAGCCGCTTCTAAGGCGGATATTGGGGACCGTGTATTCCACAGGGATTGCGCGGTCAAGGCATATATTTGATCAGTAATTCGCAAGAATCCAGGCTTTAAAAAAAGGAACCAACGGCTAATATTTATGGTACCTATTTTCTCCAGCGCAGCAAAAAGCTTACCGTCAGAGTGTCTATAATCACGAATTGAGTTTTGATTTCAAATTGCAACCAAAATTTTCGTATATGCGGCGAATGTGAAGTCGTATACGCATGAGACAAGACATGGCAAGAATAAAGCGAGAGCAGTTCGTGTTCGAGCATCGCAGTTTTTTGCGCATGGGGAGGGAGGGGGGGGGTATTAACTTGGGAAATTAAGAGAAAAATGCACCCTGCAACGGTCTCTCTCAGGGAAGGACACCTCAGAAGTAGTGAAAAGGGGAAGGGGTGTGTGGAATAAAAGATAGGTAGAGAGAAGAGAAGATGGCAAATGAGAACAGTTAGGGACCCATCAGCCGTCTCTGGCTGCCATGAACGTCGCGCCACTTCTCGCCTTGCACCGTCATTTTACGTCATAATAGTAACATACATATTCTAATTTTGAGGACCAATTATGACGCGCATCACAGCATCAGACCACGTGACTGCGTACACCAAGTTGATCAACTTCATAATACAGCTTCAAGGCTCTTCCGCTCAGCAGCAAGATATGCCTGTTTTGTGTTACTTTTAAAACCCTACTTGGAAATATAAATCCTACTCACAATGCTCGAATGTGTTGCCACTACGGCGTCTCTCATAATCATATGGTGGTTTTGGGACGTTAAACCCCACATATCAATCATTATTTCACGGTTGTTTCATTTCAACTAGGACCTAATCACACGCTGTGCCCTTCAAGACCAATACCAACCAACTAACTCAGCTCTGTGTTATTTGTTCCAGTACCATAATTACTTTACATACTATAGCGCGTTTTGAGTACGCCGTTTGCCTGTGAGATGAAGTGTGAGTACTATCTGGAGTAGAATGAGTCGGACGTGCCGCCTCGTGAAGCCGATACGTCAACAAGCCACATTCACACAACGTCACGCGGGAATATCTGAAAATAAGCTCGAAAAACTGGGATCTTAGCGACGAGCAAGTGCCATTAGCGCTCAAGGCGTTTGATGGATGCGGCGCTAGAGCAGCCACTTTGCAACAGAGACAAAGAAATGAACGATGATGGGAAGTTTACATTACGGGGAGGTCACCGAACTTGTGCAGAAACGCACAACTTGCTCGGACGCGCAGTTTGTTTCCCCGTGCGTAATTGGCGCGCAACACACGCACGAGCAACATGCGACGCCAGGGCTATTGACACCCAAATGGCCAACGAAAATAGGCTAAATGTTGCTGCATGCCCATTGCACGCGAACTGGACATGCCATGCATGCTGTTCACGAACCTCACGCCGTATACTGTTACGCTGCGGTGTCACCGCCCCAGTCCACCTTTACGGACCTTTGTACAAGCATGGAAAAAATTCGTGGTGCATGTAACACTTCGCTTGCGTCGTCTATTGCATGCATGCCGCATGCACCGGAGTTCGAGCAATGCGAGCACCTCGCATTGCTCGCATTGCTCGAAATAAAGCGAGCAAACAGCGCTCGAAATAAAGCGAAACGCCTTGTGGGAGCTGTAGAAGATAATATTAGACTACCTTGGTATTTTCGTAAACCTTTAAGCACCTGCGGATATTGGATTACTGGAGACGTCAAAGGCAGCAGAAAAACCTACAGCAAGAACATCTTGTAGAAGTCTGTTAAGTTAAAACAACTCTCATCAGTCTATCTTACACCCACGACAGGCCCTTCTTATAGTATCCGACCGCAACCTGCCCTGCGCAAACAAATTCCGTTTTATGCCCGCAACATTGTTTATTTTGTCGCTCCACTTGACCCTCTGCCATCCATTTACTTTTTTCTTTAGTATCTACTGAGATATCAGCTACCCCTGTTTGTTGTATAGCTGCAATACAAATACAAAATGCTTTCATGCTCGACAATACACTCGTCGAAAGAAAATATATAGTAAAAGTATAGATTGAGTTGACGAATATCTCATTATCAACGCCTTACGTGTAAGTTACTACAGTACTAGCTTCGCTTGTCAACGGCTAGGCTTTGCATATACCACATACCACTACCAGCGTTGTTGCCGTGTGATTCAGCCGCATCGCGTAATTCGTGAAGGTAAAGGAGGCCACTGATCAGCCAAGCTCTCTAAATTCGCGGTGGCGGATTTCGGAGAGTGACACGACACGAGAAGCGCCGCAAGAACGAACGTTCGACCAGCGAAACAACGAAACATGCGAGAGTTCAGGTCGACAAAGATAGCACGCGCCGCTGGTGGGTCCCCGGATCAAAGCTACAGCCCTTCTCCGAAACGAGCGCAGCAGCCGCTGAGAGGCGACACGAAGAAAACAAGATGCAACGACGAAAGACACACAAGGGTTCATCAAAGCATGCTAAGCAAAAATAACAGTAATAAACGACCGGGGGCATCTCAGACATGCGTCGAGGGGATGAAGGGAAGCAGAAAAATGGCCGGGACGAAGGGTACGATGGAGTCACACCGGAGACATCTGCGGACACAAAAGAGAAACAAAACCGCCCAGGGGGGTGTTTCGGCCAGTTTCACTCGAATACACAGGCGGCAGAGGAGAGAGGCGGGGAGGAGGAGAGGTTCCGAAGAGACATTCGCGCTCGTCGAGATCTGTCACGCTGGGAACTTTAAAAATAAATCCGCGAATCACACCTCCTCGGGTCCTTTAAGTACACTGGCGTTCGGCGTGGGGATGTGTCTCGCCAACTCGGCGTGATTTATAGCGGGTTAATTTTGGATAACACCGCGGCGTGCAGCCACGTAGATGGGAGCCGAGCCCCCGAATGAGCAGCGAATCGGCCTCCGTGTCTGCTCTGGCCGCGAAGTGGGGAAACGGGAGTGTTCTTTTCCATCAGGCAGTAAACGTGCCGGAATAACGGCATGCGACGCGTGACGCGAGCACAGCTCGAAAGAGAGGACGCGCTAGCATAGAGTGCAGCGCCCCCTTTTTCGTTGGTGACGTCAAAGCGCCGGTGCGCGCCGCTCACGTATGCGCGCCACATGCTTGCAATCATCGCGCCTTTGATATACGGCTCTGGGCGAGCCTCGCGAAAACGCGCTCCGTATTTGAGGCTAGCGGTCGGTGAATTCACCGAACACCGCATACATAGACCGAGACGAAGCACGGGCAGTCTATACCTGCGCGCGTCGTGGAGGCTTTGGGTGCAAACCGAAAGAGCAGCGCGACGTCTGACGAATACCCTTCCGCAAGCGTACACCTGGGTATCGGAAACCTACTGGACAGGCATATACACAAAGTCGATTCGTGCTTTGCTAGCTCTTGAACAAACTTCGCTTCTGCGTGCCGAGGAAAAAAAAAACAAGAAAAAAAAACGACGCAACTTAACACAGAGCAAACACGCGCATGTGGGCTAACAGGTTACTTAGTTCAAGCAAAAGAAAACCATCAGTACGAACTAGCATGAGCGCTAGCGCATAGTTTTCGAAAAGCCGAGGAGGCGGAAGGGAAGCAGCAGCAATAAACCGAGGTCGCGACGCGCAGCAGACCTCTCGCGCTTGAGCGCGCCGATATCGCCCCGCAATCGCGTCCGCTACTTCCCGCGTCCCCCGCGCGAACACGATCGCACTCGATAGCTGGAGCGCGTGGGGGGCTGCGCGCCGAGCCGTAAACGACAACCCGTCGGGGCGAAGAGACGACGTGTGTAAAACGAGGGCGCCGCCAAGAACGCTCTCTTTAATAGGAGCGACTGACGCGATGCCGGTGGCATCTGCTCGCCGTGCGTCGACGGAGAAGAACGCACACGGACGTATTCGCCCGGGCAGACACAGGCGCTGCGAGGGTGTCGTATCTTGGCCGGAAGGATGGCGGCTACACTTCAACAACGGCTCCATCTTTCGATGATACTTTCAGTTTCAAACGCCGTCGCGGTTCCCTGTGGTTGCAATGCTTGGCTGCTGACTCGAAAGACGCCGGTTCGATCCCGGCAGCGGCGATTTCAGAGCACGGTGAAGAGCTCCGGAATATCTTAAATTATCCGTAGCAGTCTAGTCCACTACCACCTCTGTTAAAGCTGAGTCGCTTGGGGACGTTCAACACTATACAACTAAACCGACCAACCAGCAAAACTTCGACGAGATATAACACCCGACGAGGGTATCTAAGGTCAGATGGTGTTGCGGTGAGCGGGGGACGTAAGGGAGCGTGGTAAGGGAGCGGGTTAAGCTGGTGTTTTCGCAGGTTATATTATAGCCAGGTACAACAGAACATGACAATTCAATCCTAGAATAAGCGGCGACTTGAGAGTAACGCCTGAGAAGCAGGTGTTCAAAAGCTATCGACACTTTGGTTCACAATATGATCAGACGTGGGCTCCGGAGTATGATGCGCGTAAAAATATGCTTTCCTATGAGGTCTTTTAACTAGAGAGTGAGAGTAAATTGACCTAATGAGTCTAGGAATTAAAGTAAGTGAAAAACTAAACAAAAATGACCATGGTGCTGTGTCGTCCATTTCCTGACTGCACGCGCAAGTTCTTCCCTAAGAGCTACGGTACCCTAAACCCACTGCAAGTGTCGGAGTGAAGTGCAGCCTCAGCCGAGTTCGATGCTTTCGCGATACTGCTTCAACATCGAGAAAGCATCGGTGACATCAATATACCAAGATGACTATCGCACATCGATACGCCGACACAGCCGCATTCACTGCGATAGCGTCGCTTCATCTATACAGCCTGGCCCCCGCCTTTGGATCCCTACCGTCGCGCACGACCGCGATTCAG